CCGAAGAAGGAGCAAATAGCTCTAATGACTGCTGAAGGGTGTATATGGAATCACGGTACGCGAAAATTCGAGAAAGCCGTATTTTTCTTCGACACTGGCGCCCAAAAAACGGTAATTCAGGAAGACCTAGCGAAAAGACTGAACCTCCCACAGATCAAAACAGAGAAATGCATCATGTCCGGAATAGGAGGCCAAACTGAAACATTTCAGAGCAACATCGTGCACTTGAGAATTGGCACAGCGTATGGCAGAGATCTAGAAATACTCGTTCAGACCAAGCCTATACTCACGAATGGGTTCCCTGCAGTAAAACTGTGTTCCCTCGATCGAGATTTTCTTGAGGAAAGGAATCTTCTGGTATGTAACCCAAACATAAGAGGCGAACACCATGTGCCACATATTCTCGTAGGTTTGGACCACTACCATAGCTTCGTTCTGGATAGCGGAGAGACACTCAGAACTCCTTCTGGGTTGCGAATAGCCAATACCATTTTTGGGCCTACCGTATACGGACGAGGATTGACCGATGTAGCTGGTGATGGCACAACAATCCCGATTGTCTCTCACAGTATGTCGGCTGTCGAAGAAACAGAGAGAGAAATGCTGAGTAAATTTTTCGAGCTAGAAGGCTTAGGAATCTCTCCCGAGGAATACATCGGAAATGAAACCTTTCTTAGCTACTTCAAGAATTATTCGAAGCAAGTATCATTCGAAAATGGATACATCACTGCACCCTTCCCACTCAAAAGCACTGTTCAAGATCTAGCAGACAATTACGGCACAGCATTGAGACGGTTGATGAGTCTACAGCTACACCTGCAAAAAAATTCTTCGCAAAAAGAGTGGTATTGCAAAATACTCGAACAGTACGAGGCCGACGACGTCATTGAGCGAGTGCAGGGTAGCAACCCCAATGCTGTTGGGGTGTTTTACATGCCTCACTCGGGAGTATGGAGACCGCAGAAACCAAGACCGCTACGGATTGTTTTTGACGCCTCATCCAAGCGCAAAGGACAGTTATCTCTGAACGATGTAACACACAAAGGGGAGACACTCATGAACAAAATCCATGATATTCTGATGGCAAGTAGAACATGCAAGATCATCATATTGTGTGACATAGAAGCGGCCTTCACACAAATAAGGCTGCGACAGGATCACAGAGACCTCTGCCGATTTCTTTGGCTAAAAAATACTGAGAAAGCACCAACCCAGGACAATATAGTAGTGTATCGTTTCAAAAGGATTCCCTTCGGAGCAAAGCCATCGCCTAGCATCCTCAATATGTGCCTCTTATCCTTTCTGCAATCCAAAAATAACGCATTAGCTAAAGAGATCGGCGAGAATCTCTATGTGGATAACATACTCCTCTCGGCAGAAAGCCCTTCAGAAGGTCTGCAGAAGTACGTAGAAAGTAAGTCACTGCTTGCAGAGATAGGAATGAACCTGAGAGAGTATATCTCCAACTCGGATGATGTCAACAGTGGAATTCCCCAACGCGACAGAGCTCCTGGCGGTACCATCAAAGTGCTCGGAGTGACGTATGACACAACTTCTGACGAGTTTCGTCTCCACCTCAAGTTCCCGCAAAAAGCAAGTCTAACAAAACGAGATATCGTAAGCCAGTTAAACTCCATCTACGACCCAGTAGGGATGGCCGGGCCACTAACAATCCGCCTCAAGCATCTCATGCGGGAAATTTATGATACGAATATCGAATGGAAGGATCCAGTGCCGAAGGACCTTGCTGAACTATGGACCAAAACATGCAAGGAACTGGATAACGTCTCTCTCTCAATCCCTCGGTACTCAATGGACGGGAACACAGGGCCATTCACCCTTTGGATTTTCGCAGATGCCAGTTCACAAGCACTGGCAGCTTGCGCCTACTTTCGGAATGAGCATACCTTGAAGGTGACTCAGCTGATAAGCGGAAAGACCAGGTTAACGCCGAAGAAGACTCGACAGACTATACCACGACTTGAAATGCTAGCGATACTCATAGCTATACGGCTTGGCAAAACTATTGCTACGGCTAGCAAAAAACCGATAAAGGACGTTAATGTTTTGAGCGACAGCGAAATAGCTTTATGCTGGATAACAGGCACGGATGATCTTCCAACATTCGTGGAAAACCAGAAATATCGCATAATGAAGGTGAAGAAGTCGATCGAACTCAGTGGAATCCTGGTGAAATTCTGGTATGTTCCCACTGACCGAAATCCAGCGGACGCTGGTACACGTGGTGCTGATGCGGATCAAATTCATAAACTGCCATGGCTGATCGGTCCTCAGTGGCTGGGCCAAGACCAGAACCCGCGTCACTTGACGTTGAAGTCCCTTTCCGAGGCCGAATTTGCTGACTCGGACGAAGGTTCACTTGTAGATGTAAGAAGCTCACATGTCTCATCAATACAGCCATCAGGTGCAGAATTGGTGCACGGTCTCATCCATCTGTCACGGTTCTCGCGTCTAGACAAGGCTATACGGACAATAGCTAGAGTATGCAAGACCATTCGCTTATGGGTGAACAAAGTCAACAGAAATAAAAACGAAAGCACAGCTATTAAATTGAAACACCTAAGCGAGTTTACTCCATCGTTCAATGTAACCAGCGAAGAATACACGAAGAGCGAACATTTGCTGTTTGCAGACGTCCACAGGCTTATCTCCTTGAAGGACATTCAAAAAAGATTTCCTCAGAAAAAAGTTATTCGTGATGAAGAAGGTATTATACGGAATCAATCACGTTTGCAGAACTCTATCCTTCCTCATGACACGAGAAATCCGATATACGTCGACAAGGACTCCGAACTGGCACGACTTATTTTAAGCGACATTCATAATAAGAACGCGCACAGTGGAAAAGATCACACCCTGTGTATAGCACGATCACGATTCTGGATACCTCGCCCTTCAGGGGCCTTTAGAAAATTCGTACGGAGTTGCGTAATATGCAGAAAGTGGCAAGGACTACCCTTTGGTGCCCCTGAGATGCCATCAATCCCTCACGATAGGTCAATTTTGACAACGCCCTTTGAAAAGGTAGGATGCGATTTTATGGGTCCGATCCAGATGAAAAACAATAACAAAGGTTACGTTTGCCTCTACACATGTCTTGTGACCAGAGCCATTCACCTCGAAGTGGTCGAGGACATGTCAGCTGGAGCTTTCCTCAACTGCTTCAAAAGATTCGTGGCAAGACGCGGGATTCCAAAACTGGTTCGCACCGATTGTGGATCAAACTTCAAACTAGGACAGCGGGTACTAGAAACTCTAGTCACTCCTAATTTGGATAACGAGAGCCTGAGCGAAAGCTGCATGATGACATACTGCGCTAAGCAAAGGATACGATGGATATTTAATCCACCTGGAGCTCCATGGATGGGTGGCGCATGGGAGCGCCTGGTTGGCACGGTTAAACGTGCCTTCAATAAAGCAGTAGGGAGGAAAAAGCTAGCGTTTCCCGAATTTCTGACAGTTGTTACAGAGATAGAGGCAGTAGTTAACACACGACCTCTTGTCGCTTGCTCCCCCAATGTAGAGGATATACCCCTGAGACCTGTTGATTTTCTCCACAAGTCTCTCAAGTATGGGCTAGCACCTCTTGATCCTGATGAGCTCCAAGATCCAACGTTTGATCCACAGTTGATACAAACGGTGACACAAGCAAAGCAAGCGCTCGAAAACAGCGAAATAATAGCAGAAAAATTCTGGGAAAGGTGGCACTTCGAGTATCTCACGGCGTTGCGCGAAATGCAAGTAGTACATCGAAAACAGGCCAGACATCAAACGTCAAGGGAACCACATGTGAACGAAATTGTACTCGTCGAACAAGATAGTTTACCCCGCGGTAGCTGGTGTTACGGGAAAATAATCGAAGTGGTCAGAAGCGCTGACAACATGATACGATCGGTCAAAATCCTCATGCCAAATAAGCACATATGGCATAGACCCCTTAGCAAAATATATCCGCTGGAAATTTCATCGCCAGTGTGTAATGAAGCCACAGAGGTCCCCACTCAAAGTAGAGAGCAAAATACGGCTCCGGATCTTCCCTCCACAAAGTTCCAAAGAAGAGCAAAGCTCAAAGCCATCCAAGCGATCAAGGAATCGTCGGTAACGAACACAACAAATTCGTTAGGAAACGCCAGCGTAATGGTCTTAACAGCAATCACGGTAATACTGATCTCGCTGCTCCCACAGGCAGTAGCCTCGCCGCGAATGCTGTGCAGGAAAGATTCCTTGTGGGTGACTCCCCCACAAAGTAACTTCACACTTTGCATACACAAAACATGCAGGTTCTTCCCTCCAACAGACAAAGAGCTGAGGTTACAAATCCCACCTTCAAGCAAGAGCGGCAGTATAAACGCTTCAATGATTTACGTGGAAAAAGCCGTCCCAAAAAGTTTTACAGTCAGTTGCACGCTTCCGCAAGTGTGTGATGTGTCCAAAACTCTGTTATCGAGAAATCTTTTGGGGAATCCTCATTGTTGGCCATTGGGCGCCCTCATATCCATTGCCTTACTAGCGTACATTATCATTTCTATAAGCATGCTGATAGTCTGGATCGTACGAAAAAGAAGAAATGGGAATAAGCAGCATAGCTCACTGGGAGAAACACGCGACGGTAGAATCACGAGCACTGGCTCGTCACTCGCCGCGGCAAAAGCTGTCGAATGCACTTGCATGCACGCTGGAGGGAACGATCGCAATGATACCAGCATCGCGCTGAAAACATTCCACCCAATGCCGTTCAGGCGCGCGTTGATAAACACAGCCGTCATCATATCCGCAATGACGTATCATAACGTGGGTGCATGCCAATTAGGATACACGAGACATCATGCTGAAATGATCTGTACGTCACAGCACAACTGTTCGTTTCATTTCAGTAGGGAAATCCTTTTTAATGACATCACGAACACTATTTGCATTGAAGTATTGAACGCCAACAACTCGTTAGGTACCATCCGTGTAGAAAGACTTCCGACAGAGCTGAGTTGCTCCAAGCGCATCCTGTTCTTCACAAGGGATACGAAAATTGAAGTCTTTAGCGCTACCAGATGTGCACAGATGGGGTCGTGCAGAAACGATATATGCTCGAAAATAAGTTATGACAGTGAAATTGCTGAGATTGCGAACGCTTCCAAGTTCCCAGGTTATTCCGGGTGTGAACGGTCATGCGGAGGTTTACTATGTGGCGGCTGTTTGTTACCATTCCCTGCATGCTCATTCTACAGAATTTCCCACATTCCAGTGAGCACAGTAGTGTACGAAGTAATAAACTGTATGGAATGGAGCCCGCTAATAAGGTTACGCGTCCATATTTCCTTGAACCACCATCAAGAAGAGCAGATGACATTGAATTTGAGGCCGTACGTCAGTCAAAAAAGACAGAACATATCCTTCAATGTTATCTCATATGCAAGGCCAACGTGTCCCTTACTGGACAGCAGGTTCGCGATTTCGCATGAAGAAGCGTTACTTTTACCTGAGCAAATGGAAATGCCAACTACATGCTCAACTTATAGAGAAGCCGCTGAAAATTTCCACCTTTGCAGAAACCACGTCATATGCGACTGCGATACTGGAGTAAGCCCCACCAGATGCAACTGCCCGCACGTTTCCATCGCCGAATTAAGAGCAAAAAAAGTCAACAAACTTCCTGTTGCTTCGCCTTTTGTGAAACTGACCCACAGAAAAGGAAACATAATAGCCATTTCCAGACGAGAGGAGATGACTGTCTCTGTAGAGGCGAATTTCATTAAGAACAGCGTCGAATATGTCACTTCGCAAAGCTGTATCATCATCCTTCACAATCTCACCGGGTGCTATAGCTGCCTAGAAGGCGCTTCGCTCACGACTTATTGTTATACAACCTCTCCAACATGGATTGTACTCGAATGCGACGACCATGTATTTTCAGTTGAATGTGGTCCCACCAACAAGAGTTCCGTAATATCACTCGACTTCCAAAGGGCTATAATCAAACAAGAGTGCAAGGCAAAATGCGCAGATCACATAATCAGACTGAGCTACGGGGGAATCTTGGAATACTTGCCACGCAACAACGCAGATGAGATTCTTGATTCACACGTCCGAACATGGACCAACCCGTCAGGTTTCTACCGTGAGTGGCATCTCCCAGACCTCAGTCCTTTAGTGTTAACTGTTAAAAACCACTGGAAAGCAGCTGTCTTACTAGCTAGCACCGTTGCTTGCTTCGCGGCTGCCACCTATTTTATGGGTCCCGTTCTTATTCTGACTGTCCTCAAACTTGTCGGTCAGTTATTCACCATCGTTGTGAAGTTTGCGATCTTCATCAGCTTGTTAGCTTGCAAAATCATGACCAAGTTCTTCGCTATGACACGCTCTACGATCGAACACCACTGAACGGCAACGACGAGACAGACACCGGACATCAAATAATCTAGTCATTTCCTAGCCTCATACAGTATTCAAGTAGAATGTAGCATCGATAAACACTTCTAGATGTCACTCTCAGATAGCAATCATTTCTGCTATAAAGCAAGCTGAGCTTTGCGAAAACTCACTCTTCGTTACCATGGACGAAGTGGACGTCGCGATGCACATTGAACCTCTCGTCGATTCCGTTAAGGACCTGAAAGAGCAACTGAACGCCGTCGCTGTCGGCCTAAATTCCAAGATCGATGCCCTCGCTGACATGCTTACTCGCCAATCTGACACTCTCAACCGAAAACTGGAGCTCCTGTTGGAAAGAACGCAGCCAAAATCGAACTGCCTTTTCTGTCCAATAGAGGATAACAAAGACTGCCATCCCACGGGCAGATGTTGCCGTTACCCCGATGCCGTATCGCGAGCAGTTCAAGCAAGCAACCTTAACCTCTGCAATCGCTGTCTACAGCCTCGTCATCGAGAGGACTGTGGGATACTCTGCACCTACTGTGGCAGAGAACACAACGTCCTGCTTTGTCCAAGCAAGTTGTCTCAATCCACGGCTTCGCTAAAAAGAAGGAAGTTCTAAATCCCCTTCGCCCCGGAGAATGCACTGGTGTATTGGCACCAGCGCATTTTCCGCATTCTTAGCGTCGTCGTCTACTAGTATTCCTGTTAGCCCCTCCTTCCGCCGACTCGCCAGTGCTCCTGTAATCGTCAACATCCGTGCAGTCGACTGGCATTCCCACTGACGTCGCCCTGTCTGATGTCGTCAGAACCATGGTATTCGCTGCTGCTGTCGCCTGATTGATCGCCTGCCTTCCAAGCATCATCGTATTCATTCGGTACTGATCCTGTGTCGTTTCGTTCGCTGGAGCCGCGTATCACAGCTCGAAATTTACCGAACGTTGGTCGAGGAGAGGACTAGCGGCAGTCGATGCTGGCGTACGATTACCTTTTAATGGTGAGGTTCTTGTCAATCGCAGCGGCTGTGTAGCAGTTCAGATAACTGTGTTTCGATGTTTTATGTTTTATGTTAAATCTCTATCTTAACGACGCGTCGGCTTTGATTATTTCATAATAAGCTATTTACCTGGTATATTGGCAGATTGAAAGATATCCCATTGATTGTGTGATTGTAGTTCATTCTCTTCACTATAGATCTTGTAGTTCATTATTGCCCCTCGCCGGAGTGTCGTGGTATACCACGACATTGATCCATTTGCATTGCAGACATTCTTTATGCATATTTTCGCATAGTTCGATCACAGTTCCCAGTCATTCGTTGTAATGTTTTTCCTCGCATGGAGCCTTTATAAGAGTGCCTGCGTACCAGTATGTCGCTTCGGCAAATAAAGCTTGTAGAGAACGGCTGCGTCACCCCCCTCCGACAGACAGACAGACGGACGGACGGGCGGACAGACAGACAGACGCGAGCGCTTTATATAAAGTAAGGATAACAAAATCTGTTTGCCGGTCTGTATGCCTGCTTGTCCGTTTGTAGCCATGTTCTTTAGCGCCGTCTGGAAATCGAACTGGAACAGCTGGGCTAGGTTGGAACTTGTGGGGAATGAGCCGAGCTTTTTGAGGAGACGAGATCCAAGTTGGGCTCCTTCCGCTAAGGGCGGGACGTGCGCAAAAAAGTGATTCCTCGGAACTTTATACTACTGGGCTAGATTTTCTGAGATAAGGTCTGCACTGGGGATGATGAGCGAGAAGAGTCGATTAAAATGGCATGCGATATTGCTCAGATGAATGGCTACCGCAACCTTTCAACTACACGAAGGGCTTCTGGTGGCGTGATCCTCAGACATGGTAGTACCTCGATTGATGGGAAGATTCCTTTTGTACTACCATTTATCTCTGAAGAGGTGAGTGCCACTATTGGGGAATGTCTGAAGAGATCGGGCTTGGAAAGTGCGGTAGCTATTGTTAACGTACCACCCTTCAATCTGAAAAAGCGCCCGGTTCGGAACAGGCTATGCGATCGCCTAGATACAACCTCAAACTGTGTGGCTAGTCCAGCTGGAAGGGAAGGTGATTGTAACATGTCTGAGGTGGTCTATAAAATTACTTGCCGTTATTGTGGTGATGAGTATATTGGAGAAACGGCAAAACCACTCCACGTTAGGGTTAAGGAGCACATAGATGGTATGAGGCGATTGAAAGAGTCCATTGCCTTAGGGAGTCACCGAATACAAAAGCACAACGGAAGCGTTTTTTGAAACCAACGTGGAGGTCGTGGCACAGGAATTGCAATTATGCGCGCGTAAAACCCTCGAGGCATTTTGGATAGAAGCCACTGATCCAAAAATGAATCTAAGAGTGCCCCGCGATCACGCGAGAGCTTCGGCTTATTTAAAGGTGGCCTTCCCACAAAGACTCTGAATGAAGACCTACCCCAGCTGAGACTGGTCGATTGTTATCGTCGATAGCTGGTTGGTTTCGAAGAATCCACAAAGCTACGGTGAGTCGTTCCCCTTTAATCACCTGCGTGCTCTGGGGGTCTCGAATCTTAGTGTGACAGTGGAGACGTTTCGATCGGATAGTCATAAACTGTTATGGTCTTTCTAGGCCCTGAAGAAGGCGACTCCGCCGAAACGTCAGCCTAAT